TTGAACAGACCACAAACTCAAGACAAAATTTCAACTAGGATTTTCTTTCTTCATATCAAAATTGAGACAGAAATTGCAAAATTCATTCAGTAATCCAGGATTTTTAACAATACCTACATTTTACTGTCCCTTAGAAAAGTTATAGGAAATTTAACAGGTTGCTTTAAGTTTGTGATGATTTCTTTGTGGTAATCTTTTTTAGACAGTAAAATATTTGAGGTCAATAGCCAATTTAATTTATGTCTTCTTTCCCTCAACTCTCACCTTCACTTCAGAAACCCTATCTCCCTACAAAATAGAAACTTTTTTTCTCTCTCTCTTTGAGTAAGCAATTAAAAAAATATGCAGGATGAAGTTGATTGAAATCACAGTGTGTTGCTTGGTCAATGAAGAACAGTTCCATGAGAAACCAGTAGGCGGTGCTAACTCTAGGATACAATCTTCAAGAATTGGAAACCGAAAACTCATAGAACAGGTGGCCAATTTAAAGAGTTGTAGAATTCCCAGTATGATTCATGGAGAAAGTAATTTGAAAACTTTGAATATATGTATATAATATAATGAAAAATGAGTATGAAATAAATGAAAACATAAGCTGACTAAAGGTTCTTAGCCTGATCTTTATTTACAGAATTTAAAGCACAACTACCTCTCTGTCTCCACATTAAAATCTTATGAGTATCTTTTTTGGTCCCATTCTGGTTTCAATCTAGTTTGAAAATACCATACAGTACAGCTAGTGCTTTGCCCATCTTAAGACACAAACTATCCCGACCTTAGGGCAGCAACTGATTCTCTTAATGAAAATTCAGGTTTAACTGCTCAAGTTATTTCTTCCTTGCTTCCTCGCTCTCTCTTAAAGGAACTAAATGACTTACAATGCATATAACCTACAAAAATATATTATACACATACATTTTCCTGTATTTTTAAATAAACATTTCTATGTATATACATGATTATGATTAAAATGATTTAAAAATCAGAATGTTGTAAATAGATTTTTAAAAATGTTTTATATTAGCTGTTTAAACTATATGAAAGACTATATTTTAGCAATCAACTCACTACACAAAATAAGAAAATCCAAATTTAAGGCTTAGTGACAGAATATTGGCTTCAAATCTTAGAACTATGCACTTCAAGATATCAAGTTTGGTGTCCACAGATAGTGACACAAACCGTCTTCCTTATATAAATGCAACAGAACTTCATTCACAGAGAAAAGCTACCCTGAATACAAAAATATCTCACATACAATACAATGTCCAAAGACCTTTAAGATACATGCGTGCATTGTTAATAAAACATATAGATAGCTTTCTAGATATTCCAATAAATTTTACTCTTCTACAGATAAATGGCAATTTGCACTTCTTAATCTTTCACCAAAAAAATGTAAAAAATAAGCATAAAACTTTTCATTCCACAAACTGAAGTTACAGACTCAGTGAAATGTTTGCTTGAAAAAAGCCAGCGTATGTTACTAATTCCTTCGTTATGGCCTCTATGTATGTTGGAGATTGGGTTATTCCTGTGGTATCCTAGAAGAAACCTTAACCTGAGAGGCAAAGAGTTATTTCATTTGCTTTATGTTTATTTAACAGAATTCAAAATATATGCGCATGATAAATTTAAGGCTAAACTTTTTATTTAAGGAAAACAGTAAGAAAATCAAAGCTTTGAAATCAAATAATTTCAACAACAGTTACCCTCCAGATCTGAAGATTTAAAGTATGACTTTATGAAATTTATTTAGACAGCAAATTTGCCAGCAGATTCTGTTCCTCTGTTAAATACAGAACAAGCTTTTTATCGCCAACTGGTACATCTCTGAAAGTAGTGCTAGATTATGCTGAAAACATGTAACACGACAATTATAAAATGTCATAGAATACATTCAACACCGAGTACTTCACTGCTACCAACACATGAAATCATCACCACCGTCAGCAACCCCTGACTCCTGCCCTGTACCCAGTTCTCAGGGGAAAATCTTTGAACCAGTATCAGGTGGTTAAAAAGAGGGAAAACACTGTCGCTTTAAAACTTAAGTAAAAGGCTATTTTGAACCTTAGGTGTGTAGTCTTATTAAGGCAAAGTAACAGTTTCATCCTCAACATTAAACCCAAGTGACCATAATATAAGTAATTACTTCCCCATCCCCTGGAAGATGACACCAGCAAGCACTTAAAACCAACGCAACACAGCAGTGAAAGAAAAGATCCTAAGACAGCACCACTAAGAAAGCGAAGCCCTTCGCAAAAGCAAAACGGGCTGGGAAAGACCTACTGCGTCGTTTACTCATTGCGAAGAGGAGGAGCAGGAGTTGAGCGTGTGGGGGCTGGTGCCATCTTCAAGCCTCTGGAAATGTCTCGAGCTCTGGCCCGCGTGGCCTGGAGCCGACCCCGCTGGAAGGCGCTGTCCCTGCCGCTTCTACCCCCATTTCCCCAGTGCTCTGAGGGGCCGCCCCAGCCGGTCCGACGGCCGGCGCCACATACATGGCCCTCGCCTCTCTTGCTTTGCAAGTGGCCCTCGGAGAACTTACAGGGCCCGCGGGCCGCCGGGTCCCTGACCGGCGCCGCCCGCGGCGCAGACGCCGCCCGCCGCGGAGACGACCTGGGCGCAGCTGACCCGGGGGGGAGGAGGAAGGGGGTGAGGGCGAGTATTTTGCGCACGTCCAGAATCGACCCTGAGGCAGGGAACGGACTTTGCTCTTCCCTGGCTCCCCGCGCGCCTTTCCCCACCACGGGCTCGGACACGGCCCGGAGACGCGCGCGCGCTAGCACACACACTCACACAGTTCCTTGCCAGGACCAGTGTTGCCATTGCACACCCGGGAAACGCCTCCAAGGGGACCAAGTACCTGCTCTCTTCGAGCTGCTCAGCTGTTCACTTCATCCTCCGTTGACAAGGAAACCAAACCGCACTTCATTTTTTTTTCCAGAAAAACCTTCCACTGCCATCATTTGAAAATTGATTTACCGGGAGGGGAGGGAGAGGAAGAAGGGATAATATAGATATAGATATCAGGATATCTATCATAAAATTATCTCGGTTTTTTAAAAAAGTCAAATGTGCAAAAGTCATAGTTAATTTAAAGGAGGAAAAAAGTATTTTGCTTAAAAATGATCCCAGTAACCAGCTGCAAGAAAAGTTTCATGTTATCAATAGGTATCAAAAACAGGAGGGAAAAAAACGAATTTGTTCTCACCGGCTTCCAAAAAGGGCACAAAAAAATATAAAATTAATGTCTTTGCTCAGTGGTTTGCACCAGTATTGCAAGACTACAAACTTGTAAACACTGCCGTAAAATCCCACCTATACAAAAATGTTATCAGCAAAAAAAGAGTATGCAAAAAAAAGAGTTAGAAACATGCTTTTTTATTTTTACAAAGGAAAAAAATAGGCACCATACTTGATATCGCTTTTTCCATAAAACCAGTTGCATATTTTGCTGGACTTGGGAGACGCTCCCAGCGGGCACGGTCGCCGCGGACTCCCAGACACAGCGCCTTGGCTACAGAACGATCGCATGCTAGAAAAACTTGGATTCAGGAAAAGGCTCAAAACCATGCTCCTCCAGCTTTCCCAAATATAAACAATAATCAAAGAAGTGGAAAAAAAAGAAGAAAAAAACAAAAACAAAAAAAAAGGACAAAAAAAAGAATAGGACAAGAATGCCACTGAGAAGGTACTCACCGAGCGGGAGTAAAATGTTGGAATAAAAATGAGATTTAGTATAAAATACAGTATGGCGGTGGAAGAAGGAATGAAGCGCGTTTTTTTCTCTCAGTCTCTGCCTCAGGCACTGACACGTGACTCGGCGCCAGGCTGACTTGCAGGCAGCGGGGAAGGACCGAGGCAGCGAGGGGGGAAGCCCGCGGAGCCCAACTCTGGCTGACGAGGCGGCGGCGGCGGCGGCACCGGCGGCGGCGGGAGCGGCAGCGGCAGCTCACCGCGAGGCTGCCTCCGCTGTGAGCCCAGACGAGCAGGTGCCCCTCACGCTGAGGCTGAGCACACGCGCACGCACACGCAAGACGGGCAGGGCGCCGGCGAGAGGGGGCGCCGAGCGGGGTTGGGCCCGAGGCGCGCAGCTGCCGCTGCCTCTGCCGCTGCTGCCGCCGTTACTGCTGCTGTTTCTGCTGCTGCAGCCGCCGTCGCCGCCTCCGACCGGGAGTGCGTGTTCTGGGGGCAGCTCGGGGGGTGATGACCGAATGCCTGACGGGAGGTGCACAACTTGCTGCTCACCTCAAAGTTGTTGCTTCCCACTTCCTTATGCATTCATCTATTTTTCATCTCAAGGTAGTTACCTGGGGAGAGATCTCGTCCTCTTCTCTCTCGAAGTTTCACTATTCAAGCCCTGTTTAACTCATTTTTTTTTTTTAATTTTCTGATTTCCCACTTCCCATTCCTCAGAAGCTGCCTTTGCCTCTACTGTTCCCTCCCCCTAGATCTGTGTTTCTTCCTCGCGGTTCTCTGGGAACCTGGCTCAGCGCGATGCTGGGGGCGTTGTCACCGGCAAAGCCACCGTCAATCTTTACTGCCATTTGAACGCACAGCATCTCTTTCGCCGTCTTCAAGGAAGGGAGGTTTGCAGTTTGAAAGACAAAACAAAATCTCTTATTTAGGGAACCCCGTCCCGGGATTCTTTTTGCGGCTTGCAGAGCGGTGGGTGGGGGCGTGGGTGTCTTTAATTTATTCGCTCGTGGACCAGGCATTGTTTGTTTTGTCTGCGTGTGCGCGCGTGCTTCCAAGCTCGTCTGGAAGGCTCCATACTACATGGCAGAGACTCCTGCCTGACTCTTGCTCAAGTTGTTGACTGAGGCTGGAAGTCAAAGGACAGGTGCAAGGGAAACAAGTGAGTCCATTGTGTGAGTGCTCGCCGGGAGGGAGCAAGCACTTGGCGGTCGAGAGGGGGAGACGTGCACCAGCAGAGAGGCGGCAGCGCACCCCGCGGGAGCCCAGGTGGCTGAGCAGTGGATTCTGAGGAAGGTGAGGGTGAGAGAGGGATTTCTCCACCCAACATCTGTTTCAGGATGCCTATCGCCTGAACAAAGATGCCATCAGCCAATCGCTGGATGCGTTGGGATTTTCCTATTGCTGCCTGTTGAAGAACCAGCTTTCTGGGCACTGGAACGCATCTCTTTTTCTTCATTTTTGTACAATACTCACATCACGACCATTTCCCTGTGTTGCTTTGAATCTGGGTTGTGTGTAATTAATCGACATCTCTATGTTTGAGAATGAACAATTAACGCAGGCTGCGGTTCACAGATTCCTGACTCGATCTTTATCTCAATGTTTCCAATGTTGACGTTTAGGATAAAATGCGTCCATCAGAGATGATCTAACCTGGACACTTCTGAAAATTAAGTACACATCCGTCACAGAGAGCTTCAATAGCAAATATGTTTCTCAAACATTCTGGTTACAATTCATTGACCAAATAAAGTTTTAATCCACAATTTAAATAAAGAGATTTCAACTAGT